ATATAAAATACAAAGTTATTTTTAACAAAAATGTTTTCATTTTTATTATTTATTGGAAAATTTGCTGATTTATAATCCTTTAACTTGATTCTTATCATATTCCGATCTATAGAATCAATACTAATAATTTTTTTGTCTATCTCCGGAAAGTTAGAAATAATTATATGTCCGATTTTAAGTGCATTTAATTTATCTCTAAATTCGACCGAATTATTCTCAACATAAATATGATACGGGCCTATATCAGTACTTACATACAAAAACTCCTCTCTTTCTTTCGATGTGTTATCGATGCTCATTGTTGTTGTTTGTATATCATTTTTTGATGAAGTTGGATTTATTAATAAATTATTTATATTACTTACTGGATTATCTTGGTTGGGGATGCTATTCTTATTAAGAGGTGTCAGCTGTGCCCCTGGGGAGACATCCATACTTACACATTCACCAAAAACTATATTTTTTGACGTATATCTGGGGCGCTGGGTCGTCGGGGGTATCCCCCCGACTAACTGGTCCATTTAATTTTCCTCAACTCACTATCTAATTTTATTTTTACACAAAATTTGAAGAATTATAATACACAATTTTAATCGAATACCGTTTAATTTCGTTTCGCTTTGGCGCTAAGCACGTCCGATTCGTAGGCGAACTAGAACAAAACTGTGTTCTGCTGATATGATATGCCCTAAAGATTCGATACTACTTAAAAAAAACTACATTTACTACTATTTAATCTAAAACCTGCTTCATCCAATCTTTTTAAAACTTTGTATACATTTGCAACATGTTCAGCATCATTTCTTCCTGTTACCACTACATTATCCAAATAATTCACTGTTCCTGCACAACCTTGCAACACCTTCTCTGCTGACCGCTGGAAAATTGCACAAGCTGGCTTGGTACCATAGGGTAAACAGTTAACTTTAAATAGACCATACGGTGTGCTCCACCCAAGAAGTTCCGCTGCCTCTCGTTCCACCTGTAATTAATCGTACGCATTTAAAAAATCTAGTTTGCTGAACTGTTTCCCTCCTTGCAACGCTGCAAATAGATCTTCAAGTCTGGGAGTGGGATGGTTAACATTTTACAAATTTTTATTTATTGTAACTTTGTAGTTAGCACAAACCCTGAGATCTATTCCATTAGCCTTGTACTAACGGTGTTCCCCAGTTTGCATTAGGCACTTGCTCCATCACTTTAGTTCTCTAAATGCAAACGGTATCAGAACTGGTTTCCGAAACATAGATGTAGTTTCTTGTTCAATTTCTAATTTAATCTTTTCATATTTAAATGTCCCTAACTTATTCTTAAATAAATTTGTAAACCTATTTATATCTTTTGTAGTAGGTTTTTGACAAACTGTATTCAATATCGAGCTAAACCTACTTACTTTACTGTCATCTAAATAGACATCTGGACTCTTCAAACTTAAACCCAAATTATACCAAATATCACGGTCTAATAAACATTTTGTAGCCCCTTCAACAATATTAAAATGCATTATTTTTCCTTATTAATGAAAGAGTCTTATGGTTCTTTAGAGATAATTATGTATTAGTATTAGTTTGTCTTGTAATAAATAAAATATACAGAAATGAGTCGTCTATTATAACAAAAAGTCCACAGAGCAGAACAAACATCGTCCTGCCCCCCATATCAACCTCAAACGTTATGGGTATATCATTAAGTAATACCTGCATTTTGATTGGCTATAACAAATCATTTTCTAAACAAAAAATATCCAATGTCTGGACCTCTGGCTCTTTATTTGCCTGAATACTAAAATTTTTGTCCATTTTTATTTTGAAAGCCACAAAAATATGCCCTTTCTTTTTGCGGTTCTTACATGTATCTATAAAATCTAAAATATTATTTTTAAATGTTTCATTATTAAAAAAAAAAGAAACCCAATTTTATTGCTGATAACTAGATTGTTTTGTCTGGTTGTTCTACAGTAACAAAGTATGGACCAACATTGTCCTCTAAATATTTAACTTATTTTCTAAGTATAATTTCCTACTTATTGCATCTATAAGTTGACTTATAGATGCAATAAATAAAACCCCCTTTAAATAGCACCCATACCTTTAAATAAAACTATAAATTAAGTATTAATAAATACATAAAATATAATAATAAATTAAATATATATTAAATATTAATTATCCTGTACTAGTTTTTGCTTGATACTTTTATCCAACTAAAATATGCAAATCACTCCCAACAGAAGTCACAGAGCAACTTTTGAAAGGTAATCAAAACACATACTGCAGCCCATCATATAAAGATAATGAAGATATTCAATTATTGTCAATAACAGATGTGTGGTAAGCATAATTATTAAACTCTTTAGACACTATTAGATATTGCAATTGCTGGATCCAGCGTTTTTTATATGCTGGATCCAGCAGGGCGGATCCTCAAACTTGTTAAATTCGAAATAAGTTTCTTCATTAGCCTCTTTATTCAAAGCCATCAGTCTTGCCATTCTATCGCGCTAGCAGGTACCACAAATGTGATTGAACTGCAACATCGCGTCGCCTTCTCTCTCGACTGCACCTCCTACACCTACCCATTGACTCTAAGACCTCTTCTATTTGCCTAATTTTTAGTTGACTGTCTGATCTCGCCAGTAAAAGTGTTTTCACGCCTAATAAGTGCCTCTATGAAAATTCTATGGAAGATATGGTTACTAGGATGGTTGGCAAAGATGGTTTTAGCTTGAGTTCATCTTGTACCTCACCCGACTTGAGACGGTTATTCGCAAAAAGTGGATTCCAATTACCAACTTCTCCGAACACTATAAGAGCGATAATTTACAGGTACGCAGAGAAAGTCGAGGCAAAGTTTATAAAAGAATTTACTAATGTGCAACAAAAAGGACAAAGATTTTCGTTGAGCGTCGATGAGTGGACCTCCCACATATGTAAAAAAATCACAAATATGCACAAAAATCTCAATTTGCACAATGCAGAACATTTTACCCTAGGTTTGATCAGAATTAACGGCTCGTGCACTGCCGAACACTGCATTGAATTAGTGGCAGAACGGTTGAAAATTTTTGGTTTAATGATTGAATCCGACACTATTGGTATCACAACCGACGACGCATCCATTATGGTGAAAGTTGCAAGCTCATGCCTTGCTATCAACAACTGTGCTATGTACATGGAATTCATTTGGCTGTAATAGACGTGCTGTATAAAGAGAAATCTCAAAGAGAAGTAGAACAAGCAGCAATAGACGACACTGATGAATATGAAGACGAAAAAGAAGATCTGGAGACAGAGATGAATGAAGGATTGGCAGTAACAATCAAACCAACATCGGCGAGTCTTAATGAATTGATTCCCCGTTACAGCGATCTTCTCATGAAAATACGAAAAGTTGTTAAAACGTTCAAAAAATCACCTACCTACCAAAGACGACATGTTGCAAAAATATGTCAAGAAGAGAAAGGCAAGGAATTAAGTTTGATTCTTGACTGCCGCACCAGGTGGAACAGTTTGCTCAGTGTGCTGAAACGTTTCTACAGCCTGAAAATTTGCATCGATAAAGCGTTGATAGACATTGATTCTGCGATAAAATTCTATGCTGGCGAGTGGTCAATAATTAATGAGTTGATTACCACTCTTCAACCAGTGAAACTACCTGTAGGAGCTTTTTGCAGAAGAGAGTCCACTTTGATAACGGCCGACACAACCTTGAAATTTGCCTTAGACAAACTAAATAGCCAGGACTCTAGCCTTAGTGCCGAGCTATCGGAAGCACTACGCAACAGAATCGCGAAACGGCACCTCTCTGAAATTACAGGTACATTAATGTACAAAATTACAAAATCCAAAAAAGTATGACGAAGAACTAAACAATCCTGGTTCTTTCCTCAGGCCGAAAAAAATGCAATGCGACAAGAGACGAAAAATTTGCTAAGTAGTATAAACAAACAAGTGATTGTGGAAACAGTACAAGAGGACATAATGGAAGTAGAAGATACGCCAGCTAATCCGGAGCCAGTGAATTTTACTTTAGAACAAGAACTTGAGATTGAACTGAAACGAGGGATGGAAAAATTGTATAACCAAAACTGGTTCTCAAAATGATTATGAAAAGATTTTGAAAAAGGAAATGACTGTTTATGAGACCGAAGGAGTGAAAGGCGATCATTTGTCCATGGTTTATGACTATTTGATGACCTTAAAACCGACCAACGTAGAGGCCAAAAGGGCTTTCCCAGCAAGCAGCTATATGTGCAAATATGTGCGAAGTATGTTAAGCGATAGGATGGTAGATAAAATGTTTTTAAGGTCTCACTTCCAACAAACAAAATAATTCATGTTTCTGTTGTTTAAACATTTAGAATACAGACTGATTTTTATCATGATATCAAAAAAAAAACTCGTCATTGGTAAGCCATGGACGAAAAACATATTACTTAAATTGTGTCAGCTCAAAATTGCCATCAATGAAATTTGCTTCAAATGAACTACTCTTTCAACAGATAAGTTCATTTGGATAAAATTTCATTTGTGACAATTCTCAGCCGACACAAGCAAAGCCCTATGTTTCACTTCCACGGCTTACTAAGTACGAGTTTTTTTTTATTCTCATGATAATTATGGCATGTGATATTTTAAGTTAAAGATTGATTGTGAATTGCGACTGATTATATGTCCTTATTTGATTATATACACCTAAGATCATTTTTATTTTGAGTTTTTATTTTATTAGTTTGTATTAAAAAGTTTAAGTAATAAATGAACAAAAAAAATACATTAAAATCGTGTTTTTATTTTGATTCCACATTTTGCTGGATCCTTGAAGATCCAGCTGGATTCAGGCAAATCTTGCAAAAATTCAGCTGGACTAAAAATGCTGCTGGATTGTAATCCCTAGACACAATCTAATTTTTTTGCTTGGTTAATAAATGTATTAAATGATCACATTTATATTATATACCACAAACAAAATCGAATTACATATTTCAACAGAATTATTTTACTAAAAATATTTTATTGTTGTTAAAACATAAGATATTTATTGTATTATCCAGTCCCATGTGCAAACCTTATACCTTCATCATATTTTTTCTTCTGTTTTGATAAATCTTTGTATGCCTGTAATCCCAATTCTAATGCAGCTTTTTTATTGGAATAATTTTTAATATAATCTTCAAGACCTGAAAATTCCTTTCCCTGTTCAAGTGTAATATCATGTATTTTGGTATATAATTTCAAGAGTATATTTGCTTCTTCAATCTGAGAAGTTTCTATAAGTTCTAATAAGAAATTATCAATATTTTTATTCCACACAAGAAAAAATGTGAGGGCTCCAAAATGTCTTGTAGATCTCAATAAATCAAACTTTTCATGGTCATTTACATGTTGATATGTAACTGAGGCTACTCTTTGATATTCAGGATCATTAGGTTCGAACTGCACACAAGCACGATCAAGAATAAACTTGTATTCATACTGTTCCAATAAATTATTAAGGAATTCTCCAAAAAACATTCTAGGAGGTTTAATATGTCTCTCCTTTTGAGGAAAGTACAATTGATTCATTCTATTTCTTAATTCCCAATCTGCTTCTCGTAATGTTCCATCTTGTTCCCTTACTACAATTATTCTATCAACATTCTTGATTCCAAAAGTAATATCTGTAAAAACTAGTTTTGATTCTTCCAAACCTTGTAAAGCAGGATCCTCTGATAAAATATGTGTCATAGGCTTTCTAACTGCAACGACGGGAGGTATTTGTAATAACTCGTGGGACTTCTGCTTAGCTTCTTCAATAGCTTCTTTTAGCTCATCATCAGTCATAAACTTATAAATGGGATCTTCGAGTCCTTTGCCTCCCAGTTTTATCTTTCGATTTACTTTACTTAAATCGACTCGTGTTATTTCTCGAAGCAATAATTGTATTTCTTTATTAAAGAATTTTGGAGCTGGATCATGTTTGACATCTGCAAATAATATATTATAACCTTAACCTGTTTCATTTTTCGTTTATGTACTATAGCTTACCGTACTCAATAGATGAATAATTTAAGAGCCTGCTATAAATTAAACAAATTTCCTTATTTGCCTTTTGTTCCGATCTAAATATATGTTTAAACAGATTCTTCGAAATATTTCTTAACGCAGCCATTCCTGGTTTCTTATTTCTTATATATTTAATTTTTGGTTAGAATCTACTCTACTTCTCTTTCTCTTTCAAATGATAAAAATTAATTTCTCTAAACCTCTAAACCACAAATGATAATAAAAAAGAAGATTGGTGATACCGAACTTAAATGAACTTAACCTTATATAAGAAGCCAAATTACAAACAAAATTTGTTGTTTTTCTGCTAATTTCATGAATTATTATTTTCACAATTTTGTGGATACACATATACGGATATTTTTTACATACATATTCATATTGAATTGGTGTTATACAAATTATTGGCATAATTTTCAACTATGTCCTTATATGATGATTATGATGTAAAAACCACAGCTACAGAAAAAGTACAAGGTTGGTCATCTGGCATTAAACTACTTCAATCACAATTACAACTTAAAAAAGCTACTGTAACTCAACCTAAAAGAGATCAACTTCGTAAGTCTGTAAGTTTGGCTCCAGTTATAGATTTAAAATCCAAACGAGATGATGATGAACTTAAATCCCAAGCAAAACCTAAATCTGATCCTTGGCCTCCGATTTTAAGTTCGGCTGGTGATGATTTAAATATAGTTAATGAATATAATCCATCCTGGCCAAATGAGTTTGAAAAAAAAGTTAAAGAATTAAGAGAACATGGTAGAGATCGTGAAAATAGGGAACCTAGGGACAGAGATAGAACTGATAAAGAAGAAAAGAAGAGGGAGAAAAAACGGAAAAGTAGGTTTAGTGATCCAGAAGAAAGTATGTCACCACCATCAATAGTTAACTCAATACCTCAGATGAGTCAGCCACAAATTGGTAGTGGCTTTTCAGGTATGTTTAATTTATATATGGTATCCAATATATATATATATATATATATATATATATATATATATATATATATATATATATATATATATATATATATATATATATACACATATATTGTATGAGTAGTATGGTAAGAGATCTTTTTCGTCTTAAGGTGCAGTCTTCTTTCAAAGCTTAGCAATCATCATGATTACCTGAACTCTGTTTACTGCTGCTGTTCTGAAAATCTGGTTAGATGAGCAACTAAATTACTCTCTGACATTGTGCAGCCATGATATTCAACACTTTCCTACACTACACTTTCCTAAAATCGTTTCCTGCATGATGTTTTGCAGAAGCTGGTATTGTATTCCTCTCATCTCTTGCCCAAGGTATTCTCAATGCTGTTTATTCATGTTAAAAATATAAAATCCTACACACATCAAATATTTACAAAGCCTCAATTAAAATTAAAATTATGTTTTAAATATTCCTGAATATAATGAAAGGAACATTTTATTAATATTGTTTTAATTTTATTTTCAAATTTCTTTTTAGGCAAGTTTGTTATATTTTTAGGCAGAACATTAAAACATTTTATTGCCCAATACCCTGGTCCATTTTGACACCTTTCTAAATGCCAATATGCTGGTATCATATTCTGTCTGTGTCTAGTTTCATAACCATGCTGATCTTTGTGACTTCTATAAAGATTGGTATTCCTCTTCACATGGACATATAAATAAAGATGGACTGGACATGCCCTGCACTCTGTTCACATAAATTTGAAGTCAAAAAGTTATAGGTGCGGGGAAAGAGACGAGTTGATAGATTATCACATTTCCTGTTTAGTCAGAGGCGTACCTTCCAATATTTGAAAGGTATTTGAAACAGCTTTTTCACTTGAATAAATAATGACTATTGCTTTTATTTTTAGTATCGTAAACATATAAAATATTTCGAATAAGTGAGAAACAACAAACAATGAATATTTTTAATTTTTAATGTGTAGAAATATATTTATAAAAATTAATTTACACAAAAGAATAAAGATGGAGTAAATAAAATAACAAAGTACTTTATATAATATTTTATTTAAACTAAAATAATACACATGCAATAAAAAGTGTAAAAAATTCTTCCCCAAACATTAACCTGTTCAGGGTATTGAGTATGTTTTTCTCTTATCCAGTGAGTGATACATTGAAAAAATATAGTGAATTATGGTGTATAACTCCAGCTTAATTGTTAGTTGGCAATATTAATATGTCACGTTAGACATAGCAGTAGGCAGTAGAGGTATGCTTATTAGTTCTTTTAGACGAACTAGTTCGTGAAAGAACTATTTGTAGGACCGACATCGAAATCCAACCCTAACAGAACTGGTTGCTAGATGTCTCGTCTCAATCATCACACAAGCTCGGCGCTAGCCACCCATTTTCTTTCAGTCTTTCACTAGTTCACTTAGTTCACTACCGTACAAGTAGTTCGGAACTATTTCTTTCGATCGTATGTTTAGGTTTAAATGGTTTAAATTATTATATGATTAGTTAGTTTTTATTTGCAAAAAATTATTAAGATTTGTTTTTTATTAACCGTTTTAAATATAAATATGGTTCAAGTATGATTTATTTTTATATTTACGTATATTTAAACTCATAGGTATTTATAGTTAGGTTATTTCTAAAAGAACCTTTACAAAAAAAAATCAGTGAATTTTCCAGGAACATTAAATAACACATTTTCATTCTCACTTTTACATAAAATTATATTTTATGTAAATGCTTCAATCATTTTAACCACAACTAAAATTTTTATTTCAAAATTACAATACAAGAAACAACACAGCATGGCAACATCCAAGCCAATACATGGGCATAAGATCCGAACCATTATAACATTAAGATAAGACTTAATGTTATTGTCACATTCATAAGAATTATGAATCTGTTATCTGAGGCTAATCAGCATTTTTTTAAAACTAGTTAGTCCATCCATTCACAAAATAATAAATATATGTTCTAATTTATTCATTCAATATTTTCTTCTTTAGAAGTTAAGACATAGTTTATAATGCAAATCGTTCGCAGTGAACTAGGTCTATGAAAATTAATAAACTAGTTCAATTAGTTCAGTTGAAAGAATCGTTCATTAGAACTATTTCAATGGTGAACTACACATCCCTAGTAGGCAGAAGAAAGATAATAGTTCAGGAATATGTATTTAAGAAAATATTAATAAACATAACAAAACCATAAACTATTGTTTAACAAAACATTAACAACAAACCACATATACAACAATATCTAAAATACAATAAACCTTTAAACTTATGGAACGGGCAGGGTTCTAAAATAGAAATATGCTTTATTGTTACTGAAAATTATACAATTTTATGGACAAAACTTACAAAAATTAAAAAAAAAATAACAATAACAATTAAAATTTACTAAAATTACAGAAATCGTCAATATCACAAAATTAAAGATAGTAAAATATACAATTCATTGCAAAATCTAACTATTGCATAATAAAACCTTACGAAGTAGTTTACGAATAAGTTTTTGTTGCTATATATACATATATGTTTGTTTATATATATATATATATATATATATATATATATATATATATATATATATTGTTATGATATGTAAAATCGAGAAAAATATTGGTTTGTTTAAAATATTTCAAAGTTCAAAAAATTAAAATAATTCAGATAAGTCGAATAATAAACTACAAACATTTCGAAGAATGAAAGTCCTTTATCTTTGGATTACCTATATTGAACAAAACGTAAGATATGCATAAATTATTTTCTTTGTTAAAATATATTTGAGTGACGGGAGGAGCTTAAGTGAAATCTTAGACAATGGAAGCGGGTTTTCCAAATAAATTTATGCAGTAATTAAGACAATAGAATAGATTTTAGAAAGATATGTTTTTGTTAGTTCATAAGAATTGGTAGAAAAAGATTAGTTTGTAAATAATGTTCGGAAATTTTATAATTGTAAAAAAAGTGAAAGCATAAGTAATTTTAATTAATTAATTAATTAATTAGCTAATTAAATGCTTGGCGCACTAAGACTTTGAATATCACAATAATATATATATATATATATATATATATATATATATATATATATATATATATATATATATATATATATATATATATATATATATATATATATATATATAATCTCTCTACCCTAAGGTGTGAGGTAAATACAATACAATAATACAATTACAGGTTACAGATATACATTACATCCCAAATCCAATGAAAATATTTATTCTATTATATTTATTCTATTCTATGCACGAATTTTGTCCATTCTTTCTTGTTTTTTACCTTGTTTTGAGCTTCTGACCATTCCAATCCCCTACTTTTCAAAATCTGCCCTACTTCGTCATCCCAGGTTTTCCGTGGTCTGCCTCTGGTTTTAAACCTTTTCACTTTAGCCTTCCAGACTTGCTTAACGGGTCGGTTGTCGCTCATTCGGCACAAATGACCAAACCGTTTTATTTGTTGTGTTTCAATAGCATGTAGTACAGATTCTATGCCCAGTTCTTCTCTAACATCTTCATTTCTTATTTTGTCTCGTCGTGTTATTCCTTTGACTCGTCTTAGATATTTCATATCAATGGCTTGTATCTTGCTTTTTAATTGCTCTGTTAGGAATTTTTAATTGCTCTATGGAAGCTCTCGCTTCCATATATCAAGATTGGTCGGAATACTGTCTTATAAACTGTCATTTTGGTTCTTTTGTTGATTTCTGGTTTACCTATGAATGCTCTACTAAGATTATGGTACACTTTTGAAGCACTACTTATTCTTTCTGTTATTTCATTCTGCATGGTACCTTCTCTGTCTATTGTAATCCCTAGGTATTTGAATACATCTACTTGTTCTATGAGTTGTTGGTTAATTTCTATGTTAACATTTCGGTTAGTTTTCGCTATTAGCATCACCTTGGTTTTCTTAACATTAATCTTCATGTTTCTGATTGCCAGCTCATTATTCCAGCCATCTATATTTTTCTGGAGGTCCCTTTCGTTGGAAGCGCATAACATGAGATCATCTGCGAATGCACACTCAGCTATACCAACCGGTCGTAGTTTACTATATCCGATATGTACTTTGTGCATACTTGCTTTTGTTTCCTTAATTATGTCGTCAATAATCAATATGAATAGTGTGGGGCTCA